GTCCTTTTTTTATTCCTAAAAAGCCACATCTTTGAAGACTTTCCACATGACCAGGACAGCAGATGACACACTACTGTGTAGTATTCATACACACCCCTATTGCTCAACGTTAGGAGCAATGGCCTCTGCAGGAAGCATCCTCATAGGTGAAAAGCCACTCAGAAATGCAGACATGGATAGAAGCAAGACAAATGTGTTACTACTTCAAAAAAAAAAAAGAAAAGGCTGAACCAGAGCCAAGATTTAAAAACAATAAAGAAACCAGTTTGTGTAGAAAGGCTTTTTATTTTGAAAAATATTTTTTTCAAATTTTTGAAATACAGTGTAAAGTACAACATAGAATTATGTCTGCAAGGCAGCTTATGCATGTCATGCCAGTTATTTACATGTAGGTATATACAGAGTGCAGATAATTATTGAAACCACACTACAAAATAAACAGAGAGTTCAATAACATAATTTAGTAGAACTTCATTAAATATATATAGTTATTGATTGCATATACTTTCCTGTTAAAATACCATATAGTATCTAAAGTAACTCCTATAAACTCTAATACCTCCGAAATAGTCATAAATATGATTGAAAATTGGAACTATCCTTGTGCCCTGTTCAGCTGCTTTGCCCTTTGCTATAACAAAAACCCTTGTAGTGCTGAGATCATAGTGCTGTCTGTAGTGCCAGAATTTAAATGACAATTCCCAATAAAACACCTGCAAAAAGCTTAGATGCAGAATAGCTTCCAGCTGAGACAGCCAAGGGTGGAAGCACCATTCGCTATGATTACAATAACACAAAGGCTTATTAAATACTGCCACATACAGGACAAGAGAAACAATGCTACGATCTTCAGTGACCAAATTACAACATGGAATTAGGAGCTGTTTGGATGCCAAGCACCATATTAAAACAAAGCAAACTCCCAAAGCCCATGCAAAATCTCATCCAAAAAAAAAAAAAGGAGCCCTCCGGACTCATACTGAAGCAGCCTGATCAACAGACTGACTTTCGCATGAGCAGTAACTGGAAGGGTGTGTGACCACCAAGAGCGGGAGTGAAGCTCACCTATAGCTTCATCTCTGCTAATGGATTTGTGTAAGGCACTCTGCTGAAAGAAAGGGCAAAAACGTATTGCCCCACTAACAGAATATTCCCTCTACTTTCTGGGGGCTTCTGGCCAGCAAACTCCCACTATAAATTGCCAAAGGCCTGTCTTTGACTTGGCTACACCTTTGGTGGTTTAAATCAGGGGAGAAGATCCAAGCCAGTCTCGAGGATGTTCTTCCCTACTGGGATTTACTTCTCTTCTTGCAGTTCTATCCAAAATTACACAAACTGCTGCCTTGGGAAAAGAAGTATGAAGAACAATACACTTTTCAGTTTCATTATTTATTCTGATGTAATCTTATTAAGTAGAATATAGACCAGTGGAGAAATGTAACAAAACACAACAAAACAAATCCAATTACTGCTATGCAATGCTTTTTTTTTTTATTTTTGTAGTCATTGTCCTGAACTACTGAATTTTTTAAGTTTTCCTCTGCTCACATCTTTCCTAAAGGCACATTACAGTTCAATCCAATTACAGGCAAAGAACAGAGATTAGCAACAGAAAATATAGAAAAGGAAAATAAGTTACTATTATGATCATAGAATAGCTTTGGTCAGCAAATCTGTGCATCTTTTTTTTCCAAGAAATAACTGAACAACAAACTTTATAGATTAGTTAGGGACATAAATGATAGCTATGGTTTAATTTAAAGAGTTTTGTTACATATAATTCTAAATGCCAAAACATGGCCAGGACATTTTAATACTGAACACATAGGAATTACACCCAAAGTAATTTCTCATCTTTATCATCATTAATACAAAGTGTGAATATAAAATATTAATATACTTTACATATTTATCATACAATGTATCAGTCCTTCACACTATTAATTTCATTCATGTTGTGCTGCAACATATATGAAAAGGTTTAACACAGAAAAAAAAAGGCTAAGTACAGAGTTGTGGGTAGAGACCTCATATCCACAAGACAAACAGCAATCACAATGTGTCATCTACCTTGATATCTACAGTGATATTTGTAAAAAACCTGCCACACCCTTTTAGGAAGGATAACAGCAACAATTAAAAAATTCCAGAAGCTTTGCCTGTAGAATGCATCTGACTTTCACATAAAACAGTAACTCAATACTATGAACTAATTTAGTTCAGCTTGTCTGATTTTCTGATTAGGCACTATCAAGATACTATATCTTCATTTAAATGTTACATGGATTTTTGATCTTTTGCAATTATCAGAAGGGATTTTCAGTCAGGCCTGAAAGTAGCCTCGTTATACAAGCTTTGGTGCTACTCTGTCCCCCATTTCAGTCTCTGAACAACTGGATACTTAACCTTCCAATACAGCTTTGTGTGGAGACAGATAAAGTCCCTCTTGGGAAGTCAAGGAAGAGTTGGGGCACCTGCAACCCAGAAGAGATTACACAGAAAGTGCTTCTAACGTACCGCTGAAGAGAGGGAAAGAAAACTCTTCAAATATTTAAAAAAATTAAAAAACTTACTCATTGAGAGCCAGTGGTTAACTGTGGTTATGAAAGGGCATAAACTTTTTAAAATGCTATTTTGAAGCTAAATGCTGCTTTAAAATTATTTATGTGATCATCATGGCTGGTTCAGAAGAAGGGCCTGAAAAAAGTGCAGAGCCTTACAGAGGAAGCTACAAATCTGTTGTGTGAGCAGCAGAATGAATGGGATCCAGTTTCTGATGAAGCTGTCTTCTGTGATCCAATTTTGTGTCTAATGCCAGATGAATGCATGGGAACAGATAAAGCACCTCTCCTCCACAAAGTTCCAACCAGGTCTTTCTACAACCTTTCCCTCAGCACTTACAGGCTCTACTTACTTACTCTGTAACTGGACATTGCATTTTGACAAAACTCTTAGTGAACTTGGCATCTTTGAGTCCGCTAGCGTGCACTCAGATTGGCTGGTTTCAAAACATAATGCTGGAGAAGAGCCAGACAGATACACAGGCTGTGAGACTACCTGAGGTTAGTTCCCCCCCGCCCCCCCCCTCCTTTTTTTAAAAGCAAAGCAATTAAGAGCAATCATTTTCTATTTCACTGTTCCTTGAGAGTTTCATAACAGTTAATTGCCCCCATGATGTCACCAAAGGAAGTTCAACACAGGTCAGTTTGCCACGGACCCCTGTGCCACAGATGGAAGTTGCTGTTGGGATTTTTCCCCACACCACTGTGTTTCTCTGCCTGGGTGTGCTGGGCCTCCAGCCTCTGCTCAAAGCTCTTCCTCCCTTCCTGCTCATTTTTGCCTGCAGCAGCACTTCTCCTGGGAAGGTCACCAGAGGTCTTTTGACAGCCTGCACTTTTTGGATTGTGAAATACAGCAAAACCATAACCAGACCCACGTTGATCTTCTCCAGGCATTGTCAGTTTCAGGTATAGCTTACGCTAAGAAAATTTGGCTTGCCTTAAAATTAAGAAAGGCTCAATCTGGTGAGAAAAGACCTTCTCTTCACTTCCTTCCATGTCTGCTCTGGGAAAATTAGATAAGCACATGTGTCTGCCTTCACTGCTGGTGACAATGTCTGGAACAACCATTCCTTACAGTGCACTGAACACTGTCTCAAGGTGAACTGCAACATGATTTGGGACTTGAACTGTTCAGAGTTTAAGAGAAAGGAAGAACGCAGATCACCCAGTCACTAATTCAAGGGGTCTGACCTCAGCTAACTGGAGTCAGTCATACCCAGACTCCCCATCTGAAGAGCTAACCATTTTTGAGAGGATGCTCTTCCAGCTCTTCCTTCCCTGATCATCACTTGATACTTCGAAGAGCAAGGAGAATAATCCTGCAGGCTTTTGCCACCAGCCTGAATTCCAAAACAGAACAGCTCTGCAGAAATCATGCACTACATACAAGTAGAGAAGATTCTGATGTGCTTTATGTTGCAGTAAATCTTCTTTTCTAATTTAAACAAGAAAAAGGCTATGGAAAATAAAAAGAAGCAACTAAAAGTTTACTGATATTTTTAGTCCTAACAGAGGTTTTTCCTTAAGCCTTCTGGAGGTAGTGGACAACTTAAAAATCAACAGAAGATTTATATATTGATTTCTGTTACTGAAGAAAGAACTAAGCCTAGACAGGTCTATGAAGCAGTGAATTCTTTCTGTAGCAGTAATGGTGAAGAATTACTAATATGGAACTGACAATACCTTGGTTTTCAACCGGGCATGGTAAGTAGCCAAGAAGCAGTACATGCTTTCCCTCAAGGTGTGCAAGAAAGATGCTCAGACTGAGAAAGCTGATTACGGCTTTGCAGGTTGAATTGGTGGTTTGTTTGTTTTGTTTTGTTTTGTTTTGTTTTTTTCCCCCCCTACCAGAAGCAGTCAGGGTCCTTACAATCCTTTGAAAAGTAAGGCTTTTTTATACTGTGGAAGGGGAGAAAACTTTGTCAAATAGAACACAGGAGAAATAATACTAAATATTTTTATTGCTACATGGAGCTTTCAGCATTCCTAGCTTATAAAATTAGCTACTTGACAGGCCACTTGTCTTCTTTGCAATGGAAAAAGTTGGAAAAGGACTCTGTTACAATTTATCTCAGGTTTCAAAACACACTGCTGTTTTTCACTGCTCACTTCACATGACTACCAGTCATTCCAGATACAGCATCTCCTTGTTTTCTACAGATGTTCTTCTCAGATATACTGAGAATATCTTCCAGATGATGGGTATCATAGAAATAAAAGTTGCTGATATTATCTATACTGATATAGAAAGAAGGAAATAAAACTAAGAAGTATTTGAACGAAACATTCATTAAAGAGAACACTTTTTGAATGAGCACTTGCTGCTCAAGCAGTGTATAAACTGATTTTATTATCAGTTGCATAAATTCTATACCACATTGTAATCTAAACGAATAACAGAAGTTCAAACTTCTCATTTATGGAAAACTCATTTCTCATTTGAAATGATTAGGACTAATTTTAGAATCAAGTTTTCTAAGGGAGAATTCAGATCCTAATAGAAGCATGACTTACATTATGAAAGAAATACAATTTCCTATATTAAAAAACATAGATTGCAAGAAATGTCATAGAGTGCCTTGCCTTTAAATTTCACACTTCTATGAGTAACATCCTAGGGCCTGAAAGTCTGCAGCTAAATAGCAACTTTTTTGATTTTATTGCTCTAGTGTTCCTTACCCATAAAAGAAGAACAGAACAACCTTTTGCAAACAATGGAAGTTATTTAAACAGAGTACCATCTTCAGCACAGGGGCTGTTAACTGTTTCATTACATTCTGTTCTGCTAACAGGGAGCGGGGTAACCTGCAGCTGCAGAATCTGAAGGAAATCTACCACTCAGTTAAGGGGCTGATCCCATATCTGTGTCAGATAAAAATCATAGTGCTTATTATTTGTCACCATGGATACCATGAAGATATTGCTGTCCACTACAGATTACTAGAGGAAGACAACATAATTCTCAGGAACGAGTCCTGTTTTGCCTTCATAAGTTGCTTTCAACCAGCCTGGTTCCACTGATGGATACACTGCAAAAAAACAGACAGACAAAAAAATATATTTAAAATTAATTGACACTAACAAAAGATTGTATACGTGGTTCACATAATTGTTTAGATAATACTTACTCAAGAGTAATTGAAAAATCAGGTCAAAACCAGAGAGCTGAACAGAGAACTGTACTCTCATTTTGTGGATATAGATCAGTTTTTTTTGTATGTATACATATATGTTTTTTACATAAAAAGACAATGTAGAACATAACTTACCATTGGAAAATATTGCTCCCTGTGGGAAAGACAGCTCATGACTATGCTCAGCCTTACAGGAATACATGGCTTTTGCTTGTCTGAAAAAAAACCCAAACATACAGGCTTGCAATAAATGAGCTAACAAGGAAAAATGTATAAAGAAATGGAATTAAAACCTGAGAAGCATAGGAATAATCAGTTGCACAAATGCAGGATGATAATGACTAGTTACACAGCAGTTCAGAGGAGCAGAATGATAGCAGATGATAACTCCAGGCTTACTGGAAATAACAAACATGTTATTACAGAAAACAGACCAACTTCCTGCTCAGGGATTTAAACAGGAATATAATTTCTCATTTTTAAAACTATTTTTCATTCTAGTTGAAGTTGTCATCCAAATCAGTACTGAACTGAGCACAGTGCTTAAAGAAAGTGATGGATTGGCTGGAGACAATTCAAAAGTGATCATTGAGTTATTAAGGTCTAAAAACATGATTTGTGAGAAAACACAGTTCATCAGTCTACAGAAGAAAATAATACACAGAAGGTAAATATGAGACAAAAAGTAGTAATATGTTCTTCAGGGTGACTGCAAAAAGGACTTTCAGTTTAAGGCACCTAGATTTTGATGTTTGTAAGTAACCTAAGTGCCTAAGCTCCATGAACACTCCAGGACTGGCTTCTGCTATGGTAGACACTCACTTGAGATTTCAGTGAATGGCTCGCCAGGTTCCACTGCCTGTGGTGAAACCTTTAATGAAATACTTCCTTAAACAATATGTGGCATGAAGGCAACTACATGTAGACAGCTAAGTTTATGTCTCTTAACCTGTAGCTGGAAGATTCCTCTATGGGTTAGAACAGCAAAGCACTGGATGCCAAGAATTGGAGAATCTGCAAACTTAAGTATTCTTATTACTAAAAATTAATTTAAAAATAAAAAAAGGTACTACAGAGATATCTTTAAAAGCTAGATGTACAATGATGCTATCCCAGAGAAGCAGAACAGATCAGGTCATCTCTTGATCTGGCTTCTAACACAATGATTCTGCAAAGTACAAAATGAGGGATTCAACATGAAGATGGAAATCAAGAGTTCCCTCCAGATTCCTGCACTTTACCCACTACCTTGACTTTAATTTAGACACTCAAAGCAATTTTTATATGATCCGTTGTCTTTTCTGAGTTTCTTTAAACTTATTTGAAACCCACATTATACCAATTGAAGTCAAACTTGATTATTTCACCTTTGTATGATGTAATGGGGTGTTACTGATTCAACTTTCCTTGGTTTATCTCAGTGACCCAATATGTGACCTGTGGTGCAGTTTAACATTTTTTGCATACTTTTTCAGTGTGTATATGCAAGTGACCTGTAATCTATCTTGTCTTTTCCCTCCAGATAGTGAAATAATAGTTGTAAGCTAGATTAGAAACTGTGCCACATCATCAGCATTAGCATAAGTCTATTCCACTTTGTGCATCGCCGATGGGGCCACGGCATTTCACTTTGGGAATTCACACCTCCCTGAGGAGGTTAAGCAGCAACCGATTTCCTAATGGGAGCAGAAAGCATCCCTCTACCCTGGCCTCATATCCTGGTGCCAATGAGTACTAGCACATCATTGTTCAGCTGAATCTTTAAAAGGGTATGAGAGTGGATGGCCATGTTCCAAAATGTGTATGTTTGAGACTTCCAAAAATTATTTCTCTCTCTAAAGAAAGCTGTTCTTCTGTTTCTCTGAAGCTGATTTCTGATTAGACTAAATTGTGTGTTTTGCCTTTATGTGAAGTGAGCAACTGACTAACATCAATGGTTACACTGTCAGGCCAAGACTTCCCGAGGAGGTCAAGAAATTTGAGTCATGCCCACAATATCCAGGAGCACCTTATTTTCAGGATGCTGAAAACATGTCTAACTCTTAGTACTGTCATTCTGGACACATGCCCACTGCTAACTAGAACAACATGAGCACTGGACCCTTGTTTATCCACTTTGTATAAATGTTAGGTTGCTTTCTGGCTGGTGTAGACTGCTCTACTTAGCCTTTTTTCCAAGACAACTCCTTGATGCCTACTGTTATGAAGAACTTGCCATCTACAGTCAACAAGACAGAAGTGAAATTTCATTACTCTACCTCATGTATACAAATTTATAAATAATCTACATAATACATACAAAAATATACAGAGAGAGTTTAGATGACCTTACCAAAGGTCACACAGAAACTAGAATTGAATTATTTAATCTCAAGATCTTTGCAGTCAATACTACAAAGAGCAGTGCAGATGTTCCAGCTATAGTGACCCAGATCAGTAACAGTCTGACACAATCACCACTTCTCACTGGGGGGGGTTGACCCTGTCTGGATTCCAGGTGCCCATCCAAGCTGCTCTACTGCTCCCTCTCTTCAACTCAACAGGGGGGGAGAAATATAACGAAAGACTCAGGAGTCGAATAAGGGCAGGGAGAGATCACTCACTAATTACTGTCATGGGCAAAATGAACTGGACTTGAAGAAATTAATTTCATTTATTGCCAGTAAAATAAGAGTAGGGTAATGAGAAATAAAAGCTCAATCTTGGAACATCTTCCCTCCACCCCTCCCTTCTTCCCAGGCTAAACTTCACTCCCAATTCTTCACCTTCTCCCTCCCCAGGCAGCACAGGGGGACGGGGAACAGGGATTGCAGTCAATCTCCTCACACTGCTCCCCTGCTACAGCGTGGGGTCCCTCTCCATGAATTTCTCCAACGTGAGTCCTTCCCATGGGCTGCAGTTCTTCACAAACTGCTCCAGCATGAGTACTCCATGGGGTCACAAGTCTTGCGAGCAAACCTGCTCTAGCATGGGCACCTGTCTCCACAGGGTCACAGGTCCTGCCAGGAACCTGCTCCAAGCTTAGCCTTCTCACAGGGTCACAGTCTGCTTTGGGCATCCACCAGCTCCACCATGGGATCCTTCACAGGCTGCAGGTGGATATCTGCTCTACAGTTAACCTGCAGTGGGACAGCCTGCCTCACCATGGTGTTCACCACAGGCTGCAGAGAAAACCCTGCTCCAGCAGAGCACACCTGGAGCAGCTCCTCACACTCCCTCTTCACTGACCTTGGCATCTCCAGAGTTGGTTCCCTCACATATTCTCGCTCTTCTCTCCCTGCTGCTGATGTGCAGCAGTTTTCTCCCTGTCTTAAATGTTATCCCAGAGGTGCTTCCACCATCATGGACAGGCTTGGCCTTGGCCAGCAATGGCTCCATCTTGAAGCCAGCTGGCATGGTCTCCACTGAACACAGGGGAAGCTTCTAGCAGTATCTCACAGAAGACACCCCTGTGGCTCCCCCACTACCAAAACTTTGTCACGCAAACCCAGCACATCTGTCTGGCTGAGACTGTAGAAGGCTATGGATTTTACATATAAAAGACAGTAGAGTAAATGTTAATCATGATTACAGCTGTAATTAATAGAAGGTAATGGTTTTACTAAAGCACAGGGATGATTTCAGACTTGATTAATATGTAGCACCTCATTACCTAGTGGCATGACTACCGTGCCAGTTTCCCATGTTAAGAATGGGACATCTGAGTAATACTGTGACAAAAGACATTCAAGGCAATAATAAAACAGAACAGCAATGCTTAAATGTGAAGCAGAATTATTTAAGTTACTCTTGAAATATGACATGCTGGGTTTTAGTGCCCTTAGAAAAAGTTAAGAAAATAAATGCAATTTTCTCTTACATTCTCATGTATGCTAAATCATTCTGTTTTCAACTTCTAACTTTACCTGATCCAAGTATGTTTACCTTAAAAGTATATGGAAGATAAGAAAAATAGACTCTGACTTCCTCAGTTCTGGGAAGAGAAAGCTTCCTAGCATTTGACATCTAGACATATACACAAACACAAGGTACAAAGATGACAGCTTCTCAAAAGCTCATGAATTACAGGATTCTTCCCACTACTTGGCTCCTGATACACAGTAATTACATCCCAATCCTATCTACAAACTGTGTGTAATGGTATAATGACAGACAGATTCCAAGAATATTTACTTGTAGTTCCGGAGCAATTTTCAAGCCCTAGTCATTGCCTCCACGCTCAGTTTGATTACTTAGGTTCTTGTGTAAGTTAGTATTCCCTTCAACCCTACCCAGATGGAAGCATTAACCATGAAAAGGGCTTGCAGGTTCTTGGTAATTTTTTTTTTTTTTTTTTTCAATCATGAAAATGGACATTCTTACTTATGGTGTCAATGCTGTGCTCCCCTCAAAAAAGGCTGTTTCTTAAAAAGCACGTGATAATATCACCATCATCTATTACGGTAGTCTTAAGATGATGCTAATGATCTGAGAAGAGTGTGATTCATGTTGTTCAGTGCAGAGAAAAAAAACCCAAACCTTCAGAAAATGGTGCCCACACTTCCTAGAAGTTCCTTCTTTCCATGACTTTACTGGATAGACTCCAGATGAGAAAAATGCATTTTCCCTATCCCTATTTTTTATGTTTGTTTTGATCCCACAGTGATAAACTTATACTAGCGGTCAAAGGGTTGGTACTCATCAGATCATAATGACTACATGTAGTCAGCAACATCTGAGGCCCTTTAAATAATAACAATAACAATAATTTTAAAAATTATATATAAGTTCTAAAATTCTTCTCCTACCCTAATGAGTTTTCAGTCAAGCAAGACAAAGACTGAAGCCAGAAGAGAAATGAATGGGGGAAAACACATGAATCTCTTTCAGATGACTCATCAGTTAAAATTATCCTACAGAAAGAAGAAAGGTTTATAGACTCCTGGAGATGGCAGACTTACAGTCAAGCTTGACAAAGAAGAAAACACTGGTCTGGGCTGGGGAAGGCATTCCAGCCATTTAAGAAAATGCAAAACATGGCATGAAAATAAAAACAGAAGAATGACTATGACCTGATATTTAATTATATGGCTGGGAAAGAAGCATGGTTCTAGAAGGCTTCATACCATCAGCCTATTCCTATTGAAGTTCCAATCTGGCATCTAGAGATCCTGTTGCCAAGCTAGGGCTGTTTGCTGTCACCAACTCCTCATTCCCATTTTTCTAAGTATTCTTTTCTAATGAAAATCATTCTTTTTATAATGTAGTTTCTCACTTCAGAGACTTGACCTTCCACGTACTTCTAAACCAAAGTCACTAAAATGTAGAGTTAGGGATTACGTGTTGGTGCATTTTTGTACAGAAGCTGCAATAAAGAGACCTCAGGCCGTACTGAGACTCTTCTCTAACTGCAGCATTTGTGAAAGTGGCACGAAAACTCCTTCGCCTCTTTCAAGTGCATACTAGATTGGTCTCAGTGTACAGGGCAGCTTAATACCACAGTGAGAGAGATGGATGAATACTAAACTTGAAGTCGGGAGAGAAGCAATGGGAAGACTGAGAAGTCAAAGTAACTGTGGAATTGGAAAAAGAGAGCACAGGCTGGACAGGGATTTTAACATTTTGGCTTTCCCTTTCCAACCCCAAAATGTGTACTATGACCCCTCACTCTCTTTCTGACTAGAAGAAATCTGTTCAGACTGGTAGTGCTGTGTACTCAAAGACACAAAGAGAGAGAGCAGCCAGGTCAAACAATGTCCTTGCATTAAAAAACAGAAAGGGGAGACACATGCTCAGATACGGCATTATACAAAGTCAGAAAGTAGAATGCAAAATTATCTGCTGGAACACAGGAAACCATGTGGGACTGCAAAGCCACAGAGGTACTTTTGATTCATCTACTGTACATTTGTACTCCACCACAACAGGAAACAGATGCATAAAGTAGGAATGAAGCTGTTCAGATACTATAATGCAGGGGTAAGTTTTTTTTAGCAGGGTAAATTATGCCTGCACAGAGTTCAACACTGACCTCAGTATTTCTGGTATCAAACCAAACAACAAAAATATTTTCTCTGTCTTACGCTCTGTCATGCATATACTCATTAGATAATAGAGTTATGGACACAGAAGGCTTTTTTTACTGGGTGGATCAAGATGGAATTACCACAATTTCTACATACTTCAGAGAATAAAAATGATTATACTAAGGTTTTAAATCTGCCTTCATGTTCATAACATGCATGAGAGGCAAATAAAAACTATCTCTGAATTGCAAAATTGTACTCAGACTTAAGCAGCACTATAAGAACAGCTGAACTGCTTCTTATTTTTCCTCATTTTGCCTGCTGACCTCTCATTTTCCATTCTCCTTGTTACTGTTGCTCTTCCGCTTTCTTAGGAAGGCTGAAGTAGAGGAGCTATTAAGCCTTCCAGCATTTTCGGCTTTGTTATCTGCTCTTCATATCCATTATCTAACTGCTACATTTTTCCTTTGTCAGATTTTTGCCTCTTACGTGCTTTTTATATACAGATACAGGTGGCAAAGGCTCTGAGGGAACAACAGGGGAGGGTTTACAAGAAAGGAGTAATACAAAATAAGAGAAGGAAGCTGGAGGTGAAATGATACAAGACTGGTGAAGCAGTGATTGCTCTTGGCTTAGGGCACTCGTTTAAGAACATTCCTCTCTCTTAATTTATACTTTTCTTCCTTACACTATTGCCCTGCTCTTTTCATACCCCTTTCTTTCTCTGCTACCCTCTTTTTTGATCACCTAATAGTTCATGTACTACATAAGAGAAGAACAGCCTTGATTCCTGTAAGCTGCTTCTCTCAAACAAAATCAGTGGGCCTTTGCAGGTCAGTTTTCTCTTTCTCTCCCCTGCTAGATCAATCTGCCAAAGAGGACAGTCATATTCCAGTGCCACACATCTCAGTGTATGTTGGCATCTTCCTTTACAGTTGTGCTATTTTATATTATGACACTTGGATTCATGGACTGACTGATTTTTTTTTTTCCCTATTACTCAGCAGTATCCCAGTAAGATCCTGCTATCAGTGAGGAAAGCAATGGACAAAAACCATTTTCTGTTTCTCAAGACAGATACTGAGGCATGGAAGGTGTGATAGTAAAGACAGAAATTCTGATCAAGTTAGTTCTGAAGCTCCTAAAGCAGCTATTATTCAAGACCTGCCTATTTGAGCAAATTAACATAAACTACTATGTCTGCTTCTCTGCTGGAGGCATGTATACACAAACAGCTGTATGGAATAAGTACAGCACCCTCGTCCTAATTTAAATCCTCTTCATTTACTTTTGTAGCTGTGTCCTTAAGCAGATCACTGACTCGATCATCCCGCACTGCAATTTCCCCATATGACAGAATAGTCAGAGTGACTGTTATTAGATTTAGCTTTCTTTTGAAGAAAGGATGAGTTTGGTAAACCACAAAAACTTTGTATGCCACACAATGCTGACCAAGAGACACAGAACAACACCTCTATATCAAACTCTGAAGCCGGAAGAACAGGAAGGATTGTACAAATTGTTAAATACTGTGAAGTACTTACCGCCCTGAAGAAGCTTGTTTAAGTGAACCAGCACTTTCAAACAACTGAGCTCTTGCAGCCACTCTGAAAATAAAAGCACCACCTTGCTTTATATTTCAACCATTAATTAAATACACAGACAAGTTTCACTTTTAACCATCTAAAGACATGGACACATTTTCCTTAAATTGTTTTAATTACTCACTCCGAGAAACAGGAAATTCAAAAGCTGTCCCTATTCAGCAGAAAATTCTAACGGCATAACCTAATTGGAGCCACTGACTTCCACATGCTCTAGTGCCTTACTGAGTCAGCAAGAGAAATCTCAACATTCTACATTTAATATTATATTCATGAATAGTCAACAGATATATTGGAAATGCTGCCAGTCTGTCACTTTCATGCTGGAACTCTGAGCTTTGCAGGATTTTCTGTTTAAGTAAAACACAAGAGTCTGTGAAATGAATACAGTGATCCAGATTAAAAAATGGAGAGGCTGAATGGGCTCCTGCAGTATTTGGAGAACTTCTTGGCGCTCTGCGTATCTCAAAATCGCTTGGGCATTGGGAGAGAGAAATTCTAGGTCAAAGTCAAGATTACAGCAAAGATCTTCTGACTCTTAAGGCTTTGCTGAAAAACACTGCTACCCCAAATCTCAATAGACTAAATTATAAACTCTATTGTGTAGAGTTATCCTCCTCTCAAAAGTACAAACCCCATACCAATTAAAAATCAGCTCTTAGAAATCAACATGCAGCAATCAAAAAATTTCAGAGCAGAAGTTTCTATTTCAGTTGTTTTGGGTTTGGGTTTTTTTTTTCCTTCCTCCCATTTTGGACTTACACAAATAAAATCTGATGATCTTCTTGACATAACAGCATAGACAGTAAGCAGCATTTATGTTCCTTGAAACATTAAATTCCAGAAGAATCAGAGGTAATAATAATACTAATCACTTTCGAAAGATATGTTTCTTCATTACAGACCCTATCTGTAGTCTAATGAAGGCAGCAGGAGTCTTCCAACTGACTTCAACAGATTTTGTGCCGTGCCTTCTTCGTTTACAATTTTAATGAAGCTAAATAAATAATTCACAAATATAGAAATATTAAAATCAAGTATTCATGCATGCTTTGTCAACTACTTATGTACATTTCTGGGCTAATTTTATAGTAGACAATACTTAACAACACAAAACTCCAGAGGGCCTTGATGACTTACACAGATCCTGGTCTTTGATAACCATTACTTGATGCAGTATCTAATCTTAATCTCCTGCACATTTTGGGAGGCAAATCAGGGTTTGGTGGAGCCTTTGGTGTATCTTTGGTATCTGTTGAAGATAAGCTCTGTATTGATCCACTGCAGCTTTTGTTACCTAAAGAAAACAACCAAGTTATAGGAAGCTAATTTGAAGTTGTTTCACAACACGTGTAACATGCAAAGTTCCTGTTGTTGTGTTTGTGGTTTTTGGTTTTTTTTTTAGAGACACAAAATAGGTAGAGAAAGTACTAAGAGAGAGAAGAAACAGCCTTTCAGACAGAAAGCCAGGAGAAGAGGACCAACAGCAAGAATGAAGAAATGCCATTAAAATTGTGAAAGCTAAAAAATTATATTGCACTTAAATGGATAGATAGTACGCTCACTAAAACGTGGCAACAAACACAACATTTATAAAGTAGAACACTGTATAAATTGAAGAAAAAATTCATGTCAGAAGGGATCTCAGGAAGTCACCTAGTCCAAGTTCCTGCTCAAACAGCATCCACTATGAAATCATACCATGTTAAATTTGAAGAATATTTCGGTATCCACAGAAGCTTCATGCAGTTAAAAAAAAAATACTTAGGAAGGAATGATCATGATTTGCCTAAAACAATTGCTACTGTAACCTGATAAAACAAATCTATAGCTGTACAGACTGTACTGCACACAAAAGAAGTCCTTTTAATGAATACAAGGCATGGGTACATGTGTCCTTTAAGCTGGCCTGTCTGTGGACTGTTCCTTTGCTTACATATACATCCTTCAAGAAAAGAACTACATGTACATCTATGTTTCTTTATTCCCAAGACAACAGATCCTTAATAATGCTTTAAAAGTTGTCACAATATAAAGAGATCCCAAAATATAAACCCAATACCTATACTATTAATATTGTTATTCTACAGTATTATTCTATATTACTGTTATTCTGTAGTATTATTCTATATTATAAATGATTGTTAACGATAATTATTTTACACTATTAATACTGTTAACATTAGCTCATATCTGGAAGTCTTAGGAAAAAGCTTGTACGCTCTATGGAGGGCAGAAAGGAGAGAACTTTAAGAAAAGTTCTTTTAGGACTTTGTACATAACTGCATGTTTAGCCTGCCTGTAATTTTATTACTTATACTATTGACAGCTCAGTGACAAACTCAGCACTTGCACTCAGTCCAGAGGAACTAATTTTTTCAGTGCTGTTAAACTTCATAATCCAAACCACTGCAAATATACTGATTTCAGGGTGTTTCTTGTAAAGTAATTTCCACACACCTGTAAATACAGTGCAGTATCACCTCATGTACTCACAGAGGTGCAGCAAGGGTTCACAGGCCTTCCAGCCAACTTAGCATTCAGCAGAACTTTCTAATCTAAGAATCTGTTTTCAAGCGTCGCTGTCTTGTAAGGAGCCTGTACTACAGGATCCTTTGAGACACAGGCTCAGCTTAGGTGCTCTAAGGGAGTGCTTTGAAGCAGCATCCTTCTTTGACTGAACAGGAAGACTGGTGTCCTAACCTGTGCACTGAAACTGGGTTCCTGAAGTTGAGTTTGCAAACTTGGGCTTGTTTTTGCACACCACATCCACACACAGGACCATTCAGCCATAATCTTGTGCTCAAGCTAAGTTACTTGCAGTACTGGATAACAAACCAGGCAAGCAGGGCAGAATGAAGCAGCCATTCCATTAGCAAGGTTTCAGACATACATTTCATGCCAGGGATTACCTTTTTATCCCATCTCTTCAGTCCTATCTCAACTAAAGGCATTGGTGGTAAAAAACATAACTAAAAACCAAACCAAACAAACCACCTTTGCTTCACTCTTTTATTTCAGCCAGTTTAAGAGATGTAGTTAAAAATAAACCCCAAAGCTGGCACACAGGACTGGACACACACGGATTGACAAAACCATTATTTACTAGATATGTTAAGCTTAGTGCTCTTTAAATTTAAATGCTAGCTTTTGTCAGTATCAATCATGCTGCAAGAATTAACTCCTTTGATACAGTATTAAAATCTATTCCTCTTATAGCTACACCTCTGCTTAGAAACCAGCAAACTCCTTACAAGTCAGTGATCTAGATGAGGCATGGCAGCATAGAGAATACTCTAAATTCTGAGAAACACTGACATCTTTTGAGCTGTGTGAACTGTACAGGTAACAAACATTGGAAATACGTCAAAAGCATTTCGAAAACTGAAAGAACATACCACAAAAATTAAAAGAAAATGAAAAAAGATTAATGAATGTCATTAGCTTTCAGATGTAGCTCTTGGTTTCTGATGTGCCACAGCAAACACCGATGTCCTAAAAGATGGTGGGAATTACCTTCAGCTGATGGAATTGATCTAAGGGAAGATGCTGAAGATCTTTTCAGCACAGACAGACTGTAAGAACTCTTTTTGGTCAGGTCTGTTGGTGGAGAGGCATTCTCTGGTCCAGTGACAGAAGCTATACTTTGGCAGTCTGACTCCACGTCTGTTTTGGTTGCGTCTTCCTTTGATGAGGATTCTGGACTTGTAGTCCAGAGGCCTGAACGATTCTGGCCATTAGAAGGGGGAGAAGCAATCCATGGAATCCCTCCCGATTTCTCCCTGGGCTGCAAGGGTGCACATTTGGTGCTGCTGTTCTGCTCAGAGGAGTGAGAAGAGAGGGATTCAATGCTGCCCATCGGAGTGCTGTCTGGGCTGCTGCTGTATGAGTCACCTAGGTAGGAGTGGGGAGGGAAGAAAGCCAAAAAAAAGTTTACATTTTCCAATCATGTGCATTCCTCTTATGTCACCTTTAGCTCCCTGCACCTTACTTGTCATCAAATTCATTAATCGGTGGTTTCAGAGGCATTGATTCTTAAGACAAAACAGCTACTTAGTTTCTCTAAGTTTCACACCTATTCCTACCTTTAACCTGGAAGAGCTGTCTTCCAGGTCTATTTCTTTAGAGCTGATTAACACAATGGGCTACACGCTAATCTCTTTCACACAGAAGTTTGCATTTTGAACTGCCTGCAATACAAATAACCTTTAGAAAATTCAACAGTTACAGTGTTGCACTATCTTTGTGGCAAGTAACTCCCTGGATTTCCATAAGACAAATATTGTGGTGCTTCTCACACTTAAGTTCTTAAGAGCATGACTTCATTGCCAGCAGGCACAAGAATGAAGTTTTACTTTGGTGACCAACCTGCTGAGGATCTCTGCAGTGTCTGTAAGACTAGTCCACTGCACTATCTATAGATATCCTACCTTTTGAGTCATCATATCTTTTATGAACTGTCTATCCTGCACAAGGTCAACAACTCATTCTTTTACTTCCAACTTGAATCTTGAACCCTTGATGATTTGTTTAAATTAGATCGATATTACAGAAATTTACCTACCTACACAAAAGTCCTTGTACTGATCTTGTTTCAAATAATCTTTTACAACAAAAAATAGGAATATCCTAAAGAAATTTGCTGATGATATAAAGTAGGAACACTCATTAGTACTGAGAAACTGACCTATAATACAGTGAAGGCTGAATTATTTTGATGACTGTATTTAGTCTGGTGAGTCATATTGGCATCTAGTAGGATCTCTTCCCTACAGCTGAGAGATATAATTCACAAATTTCACAAGTTGCAGAGAATGTATATTCTTCAACCACAGAGTAGTTACAAGATATCAACATGATACAGGTGTTTTTGCCTCCAAATGTTTCAGTATTCTTGGCAACAAGTGACCATAACCACAATACCACAGATAATGTAAAAAATATCAGCACCTTGCATAGTGAGTGGATCTCAAAACAGTAGTGCCACTGGTTGGTACTGAAATATTTTGTCCACTTCTGTCAAAAATTCCGGTATCCCAGATTAGACTGTCCCTCATCCTGACTCTTTACAGACCATTAGTCTCTTGAAAATGGCAAGATTGTCTTAAGCCTAAATTTGTTAGATGCATTTGTTAGGGCAGGTGATTTTCCCTCTCTACTTTGCTCTTGTGAGACCCGCCTGGAGTACTGCATCCAGTTTTGTAGCCCCCAGCTCAAGAAGGACATGGACCTGTCGGATTCGGTCCAGAAGAAGGCCATGAAGATGAGAAGAGGGCTGGAGAACCTCTCCTACGAGGACAGGCTAAGAGAGTTGGAGTTGTTCAGCCTGCAGAAGACTCTTGGGAGACCTTACTGCAGCCTGCCAGGATCTGAAGGGGGCCTACAACAAAGCTGTGGAGGGACTTTTTAGAAAATCCTGTAGTGATAAGTGGTAACTGGAAGAGGGTAGATTTAGAATTACATTAAAAATTAGGATGAAGTTCTTCACTATGCGGGTGGTGAGACACTGGAATAGGTTGCTCAGGGAAGTTGTGGATGCTCCATCATTGGACGTGTTCAAGATGAGGCTGGATAGGACTTTGAGCAACCTGGCCTAGTGGGAGGTGTCCCTGCCCATGGAAAAGCAGGTTTGGAACTTGATAAACTTTAAGGTCCCTTCCAACTCAAACCATTCTATAATTGTATGATTCACTACAATTTTCTACCATTCTCCACTGTTTGAAACTTGTATCTCATTTTCTATTGCCATACAGAATTCCTTGATTTCCTGCAAATATAGTGAAGTGTCTGTGCTTCACTTAAATGAAGATTGTTTCTGCCTTGGTCTTCCATGCACAAGAGAGATCTTAACTGGAACTTCTGTAATCAAGTGCTGAGCTTGAGCTAATAAGCAAAGCACAAGTGGAGAGTTCTTGGGTCAGACCTAGTTCCAATCAAGCTGCCAGCTTCTGAATAAAGGAGCGTGAGCTTGCATATGATTGGCAAAATACTTGCACAGAGATGTCCTTGTTTTTCACACTGGCATTCATTCATTGCAGCTACAAACTGAAAAACAGTTGAGACTTGCCCAGTTTGTCCTCTGGCGAATGTAACTGACAGTTCCCTGTAACTTCTTGCTTGGGATATCATGCCACTCTTACTGACCATCGATGCATAGGCAGCTATTGCTGTCATTTAGAATTTACCCCTCTCTGGCAGCAATCATTTAACATAAACCTATGGAAAGTGCAGCACTTGTCCCAAGAGTGTACTGAGAACACATTTCCTAATGTTACAGACTTACTACAGATCCTCAACAACAGATGCATCTTAACTGTGGATTAATTTACTGGAGCGCTTTCATGTAAATCTCTTTGAGGAAGCAAGGGACACAGAAGTTTTTTTGTTGCAGTAGTGAATCTGGTAACAACTTAATTTTTGCTAGTTTCAGTACTTCTAAACTGGTACAGCTAGTAAGTAAAACAGTGATGTCCGACTAGAAGAAAATGAATGAGGTGAAACTTTTTAACAGCCACATCTACATGAAAATGAATAAGCATTCTAAGTAGTAATCATTTATAAACATAACTTCCTCCTGTTAAACAGTAAACCCTACGATAAGTACACTATTTATCCCAAAAATATTTGAATTAGTCTCAATTCCAGTAAAACTAACAAAGTTTCCATAGTTTAGGGAACCTAGAGCAGTGGCTGACTTTGAACCTATGATCACAGTTTCGTGCATCTGAAAAAAGCCAAGTGAGGGTTTTGATTTCCTGACCTTGACTGAACTACATTCATTACAGGAGGAGAAGGACTGTATTTACATTTTCCCAACCTTATTAATCATTTTACAAGAAAATGAGAAGAATTTCATATAATGAATTTCTGAGTTTCAAAGCTGACTACATTTATATTACAATATAAGGTCTACTCTAAATGATTTTTGAACACTATGCAGTAATCGACTTGCCTAAACCCAAACATCCTTCTTCATCTGAGAGACCCAAGGAATGCAGTCATTCAGCAGTGTGGCTGTGACTCACGGAGGCTAAAAAGCTGACAAACACCCATCTGTTATAACTCCTGGAATACAATACCTATTGGATATAATTCCAGAAAATTAAAAGGTAACACATAGAAAGGAAGAAAATGTGTAATAAGGACAAACTTACTGTCAGGATCTGCTAGACATGGTGTGTATCTTCCTTTGGGTTTACGTGAACCTGTGGAGAGACAAATTGCTCTTGTCCTTCTTGAACCTGACCGGGACTGAGGTTGGGGAAGAGGAATATTGGGGTCTGGTGCAGTGTGAAATATCTGCATGATAAAAAAAAAAAAAAAAAAAAAAAAGTACATAAACAATACAGGTACACTTACACTTCCATTATTAATCTGTTTCCCTCACCACTGCAACTGAAATTATTCCTGTAGTAGTCTCATACATTACAAAAGAGTTAATTCACAGAATGTCAGCTTTGCTCTGATCTCATTTTACAATTCAAGAACTACAATACTGACCCATACTTAAAATGTATAGTAATTGTATAAAAATATTTGTTTAACTAGTTTTAGCTTCTAGCCCTTGTTAAGAAGTGCTTAACAGTCTAAATTGTAAAACATACAATAGGTCATTACTACTAACTCCTGCCCAAGCAGTAATATTTTTTTTTAAAATTATGAAAAGATAGAATTTTTTCCTCTGTGTTCCTGTGGAAGCTTTTCTATGTTATCTAAATATGCCATAATCATAACTTTTTACAATCCAGTTGGATTTCAAAAACCCATTTTATTTTACCAAACAAGTTTGGTGACGATATTTATGAGCATTCCTTGGTTTTTTATTTTTTATGTTCCACTGCTTACCATTTTATACTTCATTGCTGCAGAAAAAACGCAAATTTTCACAGGTATCTACTACTGTGATTTGACACAGGTACACATGATGTTTTAAAGAACTCTCCTGATAAGTCTGGCAAGCTTGCCAGCAAGAAAGAACACTGTAAAAGGTTCAGTAATTTGGTTTACTTTCATTTATATCACCTGTTTTGCAATACCAGAAACACATGTAGCACGTGTCTCAAAAGACCCTAAAACCCTTCTTGGATACTTCTAGTAAAAATTGTAATTTTCTTGGAGGATGACCAAAGCAAAAAAACATTACTAAAAGATTTGTAGGTTTTAATTCCAGATCTTTCTCACTTATTTCTCCTAGTCCAAACTATGAACTCTACTGAACATCTCTTATGGCATTCTGTGGAAGGAAGTGGAATTAGTTCTGTGCAACAGAGAAGAGATTTTACAGAGAAAGACTGCCTGAATAAGCTACGGAAGGAATCAGAAGTGTCCAGTCTCCACAGGGCCAAGTGTTGCAGGTTAAAAACCATGCAACACCAAAGTACATTTCTGCAAGGATTTCTGGACCCTCTAAGAACAGGGCACTGCCCAAAGAGGATGAAGTGAACAATGAAAAGATATCTCCATGCTATTCAAAGAAGTGGAAAAAAGCACATATACTTTCATGGCAGAAAATACTTTAATGGATGTCTTGAGATGATCTTCAAGTACACTGATCCTGTATTAGGCATTAGTGAGTAACTCATCAATACAAAAACCTGTCTGCAGACAGAGAAATAGAGCAAGGATGATTTTGGTTGTGCAGCCATGGCCTCTGTATAGAATGAGCTTGAAATTTTCTGGAGGAGAAATACAGTATTGGAAACTTAATATTCAAGTCTTGAGTTACAGCCAAGGAGGTTATCAGTACTTGACCAATTTTGAGGAGTTCCTATGACATACAGCTGGTGATACCAAACACTCCTGTCAGCACTTACTGACCAACCAGTGCATGGGAACCTGGTACTGACCAGGAACTGCCCCATAGCTGAGTAACCTGCTATGGAAGAAGCACAAAGTTTTTCCAATTTGTTTTACTAGTCACCGGAGAATGTGATATATAACAATAAAAGACCCTCAAAATAAAATTTCTTTTGATAACCAAGTAAAGGAGGTTTTGACTGTTCCACTGAGTTCTGAAACCAAATATTTTAAAATAAAACAATATCTGAGGAGGCATCAATGAGGATGATACCTGTAATGGTAGTGACTGAAATTCAGTGTTTAAGATTTCATGGATTATCCTTCTCAAGCCCTGAAAGACTTCTTCAATCCTTCAGGAAAGGGTAGGAGATGGAATTTGCTGTCACTGGTCTCTTTAAGGAAAACAAAATAAACCAGGCAGTCACAGACATGCCTTTCTTCAAAGCAAAATAAATACCTAGAGAAATTTGTATGTGTTAAGAGTACTCAAGAAGTTACAAACGACAAAGACATGATGGGCTTAAAACCTGTAACTAGGAATTAAACCTCATCTAAGATATATTATTTTTTCTTTTTGCTTTTTTATTTTTCACCTAGTATCTAGACAGTTCTGCTGGGGATCCACACTGATACTTGTCATGAAAAGAGAAAAGGAACGATGTTTTGTGTTTTTGTGACATTAGGAGTGACTAGATCTCCACTGTGCAGCTGGCATATCCCCAAAGTACAGCTAGAGTCAGAAAGACCCTGACCTGATGCACTTGGAATATCCAGACATTCACCCAGAGTGAACCTTAAGACCTGAAGGATAAGAGAGATGGAGGAGCTGAAGCAAAGTTATGACCTTCTCATTCTGCTTCTAGATAGAAGAAGGACACAGCAATCTTGGGAAGGCAACTGAAGATTCAGAGCAAAGCCTTCAAAGCATTGAATATTATGCCTTGGATCTGTGCCTTGGATCTGTCCCTTGCGCAGCCACGGGGGACTTGCTAGGAATACAGATCCATAGCATGGGGTGGGAAGAAGGTATTCCTCCAGTGGCCTTCTACAAATGCTGGATTTCTTATTTTTAAGAACTTAATGATGATCTTAGTTCCACCAAGATCTTAGTTCCACTTCATCATAAAACAGTCAGATAATGTCTTTCTACCTTTTCATAATGCTCTATCAGAATTTCAACGACGATATTCTGAAACTTAATGTTCATCATAGCAGCCACGGTTTCTTCTTGAGCTCTCATCAGAGTTGGTCCAAAGATAACACCAAGGTTGGATACAGTCATTAGATTTTGCTGACTGTGTAATGATACCCTTTAAATGAACACAAACAATATGCAATTAAATTGTGCTGAACTACAGCTCCAATAGGCAAAACCTGTTGAGACCACTTCTTTAACAAGATCCCCAGTTCATACCTCCCCTCTAAAAACATTTTTAACACTTTGACTTTAACTAGACTCAAAATACAGTGCAGTAAAACTACTGTATTTCTCTTAAGGATCCCATCCTGCAATAACTTAATGGATAATGATGACATCTTCCTACAGGAAGTATTTAAGTTCCTGACATAACTGACAGTGTAAACCAACTGCCTTTGAATGTCTCCACAGAGAGATCTAGACCATCTAAGTCTAGGTGTCTTAAGGTAGGCACCTATCTCTTTCCAGTGACTATACAGGAACGTAAATACTTGATGTTGGATTGACTGAAAATATTATTTGATAATGGAGGTCAACCATATGCCTTAGCTTTTACATAAAGGAAAGAAACTTTGTTACTGGAAACACTTAAATTGCAATAGGTTCTCTTTATTAATATGTTGAAAACATATCAGTGAAATCATGGTTTCTGTCGTATAGATAACACTAGATGATCATAAGGACATCTTCTGGCTTTAAAATATATTAAATTTTTACTTCTGTATATGCTATTATTGCTTACTGTACCTTTTTCTGTCATTATTTTTCTCAATGTAGAATTCAGAAACTTAGCTTTTCCAATAATGTATCAGATAGTAAAATGAAAACCATCAATCAGTAATCCTCAATGCCTCTTTTGTCTTCTTAAAAATGAGACTTGCCAAGTAAAACCCATATAATCATAAATCCTTCAAAATAACTGCCAGTGATTCCCCAGTCATAGCTACCCTATTGCCTCATATCTGAAAAATATCATTCCAGGTAAAGATTTTATAATTGCCTTAATGCTTAATTTTACTTAATCTGCTACCAAATAGAATCAGTTATCGAGGCACTTGTTCACATTTTTCTCTTCCTTCTCACTGCTACCTGCTACTATTGTCAAGCTGAGCATTTTCAGCTGTTTCCTACATAATTAAAATAACTCTTGTATCTTTTAAAATTACAAAACACTAACAACTATAAAATACTGGAAGACTAGCAGGTAGGTGGAAACTATCTTCTTTTTTTTTTTCTGACAGTCTTCATTAATCATGTTTATGGACATATCTGCTCTATTTTTCTTCCACTAATACTCTCTATTACTAATTACTAATACACTAATATCTTGATTTGTTCTGAAGATGTTATATAAACATTAGGAAAACGACCTATCTGATATCAGAGTTTGGTAGCAAGTAACACAAATACCATCCCTTTCCACAAATTAGAAAGGCAGTGACAAAAAGACTGAGATTTTCCCAGTGCTACTGGGGTATTTTGTTAGGATTAGGATCAAGCCCATGTCTGGACTCACACATTACCTTTCTCTCAGTTTCACTGCTCAGTAGGCATTAAGGATACACAGAATGAGTAGACTGGTAAAATTATCTTGGTACAGAGGTGAGACAGACTATACAATTCTATAATGAAGTAATACTCCCCTCATAGTTGGAACTGGAATGTTTTAGCACCTCATTTACATAGAGAAGCAGAAGAAATTTGGGAAAGAGGGTTGTATTGGAAACAACATGATTATAAAATGCAGGAATATAAATGCCTATCTTACATGTTTCTCATGTCCTTTCATAAAGTTACAGTAAAAAGCTTTCAAAAATTTTACTTCAGACAGACACAGTGGCAGAGATTTTTTATTTAAAAGCCATATAATAAAATAACTGCCTTGTTAAAACACATTTTAAGCCAATTATCTTAATGTGATTTTCTCTGTAACAGATCTTATGTTTGGCTTAGGTGACTAAGAGGTGCTTGGGAAGTCCACCAGTATTTTAATGAAAATGGAATTTTGAATTACTCAGCTCCAGGTTTGTTAGAAAAAAGTAAAAAAAAAAAAAACAAAAAAAAAACAAAATGCTTTGCAATGTTGCTCTGGTTTATGCTGCATAGTAACTATTAAGGTCTCTTACACAAATATTATAGTCTTATAGCATAAGAGAGAAAGTAATGTTTGTCCTGTGTTTGGGTTTCCTTGGTTACAAATTTGGTAGTTTGGTTATAAAAGAAAGGAAGGGTGAATTTAATAACATTATAACCAGAAAGGACTTTCTACAATGCATTTCACAGACACAATTTTTTTTCAAAAGAGAAAAAATGCAGGCTTGTAATTGGATCTTTTTGATAGCAAATTGCTCCTGACCTAGTCCTACTGTTGCTGGGCTACTCAATACGTGCAGGCCAAGGTAGTAATGCATTTCAGCTACCTTTAAGGCATTTGTTAAGGTGCAGCTGCTTTCCCCTCAAAATCCCTTTCTTTGATATATCACCAATAAATTTTTGCTACTGCCAGGTTGCAGACTTCTGACTGTGCACCTTAGAAGAATATGGTGTTATTAAATCATACCAAAGTTATTCTTTGAAGTAGACAACTTAACTAGGAAGGCTTAAAAACAAATAAAAAAAAAAGAGTTACCTAGATGAAAATAACACCAAACTTCCCAGGTTTGCCTAGTTGCTGACTGAGTACATACTCGTGCACTATTACCTCTCTGCAATGCGCTTTTCAGGGTTTGCTGGTTTTGTTTGTTTGTATCATCACCTACGTCCCATAATATCTAGATGATATTTAATTTTGCAGTGACACAAAAGTGAAGGTAGGCAGAGATGTGAGAACCTTACGATCAAACCCAAGAAAACCATATTATCCTTATTTGATAAGCCATAGGCAAAAGTATAGTATTTTCACAAGATTCGAAAGCATACATAAAGGAACTAAACAGCTAAAAGAAATATAGGGGAAGAATGCACATTGAAATGGGATTTTAAACAAAAGAGTGAATAAACAGGAGGTTGGGTTTTTATTTTCATATTTTCCCATTTTCATAAAACTAGGCACTTTATCTGCCACTTATTCCTTGAAAAATCTCCACACAGTCATAGGAAAAAGATGAGGAAGATAATACACTCAAGAGACTAATTTTGAATTCAGTCTCATTATAATTACTAGCGTAACAAAAACAACAGCTGGTAAATTATATGAGAAATTGGAAGGGGCAAATTGAAAGTTGGAAAGAAAAGAACTGAAAGTTTTCAGTATAAAACTGTAAGATTACACTTCTCAGAAGTGAGAATCAAATCAAGGATGAGGTAAGCAAGAGCTGAGGAGAACAGTTAAACAAGGGAATACTGCAGGCATGCTTTCTTCAGAAATGCTTCTGAGGTCACATTGAAAATAAATAGGCTAGGAAAAGAGGTGAATAAGAAATGCTTGCTTGTAACTAATGTAACTAATTCTGCCTACAAATAAGTCAGCTCCTATGCATATATTTTTCTAATTTTGGGGCTTCCAGATTAGAATTAATTCACCATTAAATGCTTTAATTTTTTAGTTGGTTAGAAAATAGTAGATATTATATTTTGTAGCTAATCAAACAACTCTTTGAGTAAGGAAACTTATGAAAGTTGTTTTCATCTGGTTCTCTGGGTTACCCCATGCATGATGAGATGCAAGAGCTGCCGAATCAGTTTTTGCAATGGAAGCATTCATAGCAGATTGCTATCATGCCAGTCTTCCAGAAGCTAATGACATTAAGGTCTAAAAATAATTTATTAGGGCTAAATAATCTATCAAATAAATTTTCAAAGTTCTCGTGTACTAGGAGGAAGTAAGACTTCATGAGGCTCCACTGTGGACAGCTTACTGCAGGCTGTGGCTCAAGCTGTGATCAAAGAGCAAAACAGATGGGGTGTAATGAAGGGAATAAAACCAATATGGACTCCTCTTTTATGTCTTCTGCATATCTCAGTCATGTGGGCCTTATCTGAACAACTGCTGTTCCAGTATTCACATTCCCAGATCATTGATAAGTGTACTAAAAAAATACTGCATCCTCAATCAGAAAGAATAATACATATGAAAAAGTATTCAGTAAATATCAGTGAAAACTGACCAAAGATTTACTAAAGCTTACATGAATAATGTTTGATGCATAAACAGGATAAATTATAATTTAATAATGGTATGTAATCACAGCTAGTGATATAGAAAGACATAAGAGAGTAAAAACTTGTATTTTTTCTCTCACAGTATGTGCTATGTGTAATTCACTGAAGACTGCCATCAGTTCAAAGAAGTTGTGCCAGGTGAGGTTTAGGTTGGATACTAGTTATCAAGCACTGGAACAGGCTGCCCAGGGAATTGTCTTAATCACCATCCCTGGACACGTTTAAAAGTCGTGTAGATGTGGTGCTTAGGGACATGGTTTAGTGGTGGACTTGGTAGAGTTAGGTTAATGGTTCGACTTGATGATCTTAAAGGTCTTTTCCAACTTAAAAGGATTCTAAGATTCTACAAAGGACAAGTATTCTCACATTAATCTGTTTTTGAAACAGTGTGGTACCTCAAGTCCAATTAAAACCAGAGATTTTTCAATCAACCTTGGCATAGTTTTAGATGTTTCTTACATTTTTTTAGTGACACTTCCTGTAGTAAGTAGGAATGTGAATGAAAACTTTGAGTGTGTTTATTTTATAAATTTATCTGGTCCTCTTGTTGACTCTTTACGGTGTTAATTCTTCCTTTGTTTCTATGCTGAGTACTCTTCAGCTATGTTGAGAACAGCATTTTAGAAACTAAATGTAATTTTGAGTGGCATTGTTTCAACACAGAAAGTGGGGTAAGCAACACTGACAAATTTAAAGCAGAAATAATCACATCTTACAGTAATACCGAAGACAAAAATCAGAAAGAATTACTTGACCAAGTGCTTGATAAGGATGTCCAGCATCTCTCTGTTCTTCTCTGGTAGCTTATGCACAAGCGCGTGCACGGCCTCAACTCTGTAGTTCTGATCATCTGACTCTGTTAAGCAGAAAATGAATATTGCTGAGATATCAAAACATGTGCTAAGATGCAAGTGCAAATGTCACCAATGCCTGTACACTAACTCACACATCCATCACAAGCTGCCAAACAATTATCCCTTGATGATGATGAGAATTTGATTATATTTATTACAACATTATGAAATCTGCATTTCAAGCAACTCGCCACAAACAGTTACCACTGATACCAGAACCAACAAATTTAGTGGCAATGTTGACCCAATGCGCCACTTAGTGAAATCCAAGAGTTTACTCCTTGATAATTTAAAATATTTAAAACTCTTGACTGTCTTTTATTCTTATCAAAGCAAGAGGAAATGGAGAAATAAATTCTGTATCTAATTATTCCATTTGTGAAAAGGAGATAATTATCACTCCCTCCAATTTCTCAAGGCAAGCTGGGAAAATAAGGTCCCTGGATGAGAGGGATGAATGCCACAAATGAGTGATCAGCCTGTATAAAGCAAATATATAAATCAAGGTTCAAAATTTCATGCACAAGTCAGTCACATAAAACCTCTGAAAAGATCAGAACACATCACTGAATTCTTCTTCTAGCATGACTTCTCTGAGGGCTTCCATGTGGTATTATGCTGTCACACACAGTGACATGGAAGAAACTGGATCCATGAATAATAAACGAAAGAGAAAAGTAAGGATAGTAACTGAGGAGATTAAGGGTTAGAAACTATTTTTCTTTCATGAAAGTTTATTTATTACTTTACTTACTAACAGCAACAATGAAATCTTTGTGCAGCTTGAAAGTCATCAGTGGTTCTGAGAGACATCTGGTTGTAAAAAAAAACATTAAAAGGAAATTTAAAAAAAAGCCTTACTCAAAGTCTCTTTAAGTTTTATGGGTGTGATTATGATAGCCCTCAACATCTGCACGATATACACTGGTATGTCCTAGGAAACCCAATTCAGTGATGACTGATCACAAGTAGTACACAACTCAGTCAGGTACACAGTCTGAAAATCTCTGAGTTGAGTCTGATGTCACTATGGAAGTTAATGAGGGAAATACTACCAGCACTGATTTCAGCACAGAGACTCACTGTTTTCTGACTTCCATACTGTAGAATAAGAATAAATGGAGCTGCAGAACACGGTACAGCGAGCTGCAGAAATAATCCTTTGCCCAAGAAGGGCAAAAACATGATGAAATTCAGGACTGAAATTCTGATCCAAGAGGTCCTTGAAGAGTCAGCCTCCAAAGGGCAGACTGTGAATTGCCTTATGGATACACACAGCTACTGCTAGCTCACATTCTAGTTCAACAAGCACAGGATCTACAATGATATTTGTCCTTCTGAAGATGTATTACAAATTTCTTCAACCAAAGCAAGTCTTCTCAATGAAATGTTCATGTACACTATGTAAATGTACAATGAAATGTACACTATAAATCCTGGGCATATTTTCAAGACCAAACAGGGATTTCTGATGCTGTGCCTTGCTAAATGACCCATTCAGGAAGTTTAGATTTTTAGAAAGCACAGAACACTCACCATTTGGATTTGATGCTTTTCATGATGTTTCTTTCGAATGTAATATATTGAGACCCTAAAAATAGTTATCTTGGAAGTACCCTAATTCTTGAAAATTCTCTCTCTTATTAGCAGAAATTTTAAGATAAAATGATGGCGTAGAAGGGATGCTGTGTTTGTGAAAACACCACTTGCATAGAGTAAAAACCTATGCAAATTTTTATTCTGTTCCAACAATAATACTTTGAAACTTCACAGTACACAGCTTAAGGAATTCAGAAAAGAGACTGAACACAACATGCTTTCTGGTTAATGTAAAAAAAAATAAATAAAACCATGCAATTAATTAAATTGTCAAAATTAGGGCTATATAAGGCATGACAATCTTAATAAGCAGAAAGTCTATGACAAATTTTAGATTTATTAGTACAGACAATCACAGGGATATTAGGCAAGATAATAATATACTCAAATATTGCCATGCTAATGGATACAAGAAATAAAATATGATATTAATAAGCAAAAGATTAATGGGCTAGAAAAGGAATACTGGGATTTGTGTAGCATCATACTTACCTGAGGTAGTTTTTTAGTCCACTTGTTATTGTTTTATTGTCCCAAAGTTCCATATCAATATCCATATCAGGAGGAGATTTAGGGGCTGGTAAAAATTGAATTATGATTGTGTTACAGTTTGACTAACAGACTAACTAGCACAGCAGCAAAACAGAAGCTAATAGATTAGTCTTTTAGCCCATGCCATTACTTACTAGCCAGATGAATGACTAATCTGATTAATTTGAATCTTTTAATCTTTACCAAAGTATTAATTAAAATTAATTTAGCAGTCATATTTAGTAGCTGTAAACATTAACTATATGTACTCTATCAAAGTCTAAGCCCAAGTCAACAGAGAATTACTAATGTATTTGGCTTAGACATTCAAACACAGGCTCAGAGAGCCCAATTTGCAAGGGCAGTGAAAGACTGGAACAACTGTCTGTTAAACTGAGCTATGTGGTGTTACAGAGCTAAGCTTTGCAACACTTCTGAAATACACAAGATACATACTAATGGAACTTTAAGGCTAAAAGAAATGCATTTTATCATTAATTTCCTCATATTTATCCATGATTACATGCAGAAATTGAATACTAATGCACACAAGAAACTAGTTGGAAGGATCACTCATTTTAAGATTGCAAACCCATTCTAATGGCAGTAAGTGCATATACAAAACTGTAAATATTGCACTCAGAATTCTGAGTAGAGCAGCTAAGGTGAAAGGGACCACAACATAGGCACTGCACAATGATAAAGGTTCTCTTCAGATACTTACAAAATACAGTATTCATCAGCTTTTGCACCTTGGAGTTTACACCACCTATTCTGTACAGCCCCAGGATTGTAATCCCTGCATTGAGGAAACACATGAAAATAATGAAAGTATGGTGTATATTTTCAAAACATCTAAATGTATGTTAACAAATGCATTCCACTGGATCCACACCATGCAATACACTCATCATAATTTTACCTTAACAGAAACCTTTTGCACACAAATGACCTATATTAGCAAACAACAAGGAAATGGCTGTGTAAAGCGAAAAATAAGACCCAAAAGCAGTCTTAAAATGCGTTACATGTCAACAAGTTTACCTTGCCTAGACTTCAGTGGAACTACTATGCATCTGTATTTGCTTAGACCATCATCCCTTCTAGTTAAGATTTAATTGACATTTATAGCAGAAACGATTGTACTCAAAATGAAAACATATATTGCACTGTTGCAACACTGCAGTTCAGAATTTATACATTATGCATGGATCCCCATACAAAATAGAGAGTCATGGCCCAATTGACCAATTACTTTCAATTCTTATAATAAAAAATAATCTTTAAAGTGTGACATTCACAACACAGCATCTCAGTACTCTAATGATGCTAATTTTATTGCTTTTCACAGCTTTTTAAAATCATCAAGGTTTACAAGTCTTCCCTTCTCCCCACTTCAGGTCTTATAATTTAAAAATTGTCCACTTCTCTTTTGAAAACAATGTTCCAAAGTCTGATCTCACTTAGATAACCCAGGTGTTTAGTTTTGAAATCCCCTTTTTTCCCCCTGAGAAATCAATGTAAGCTGAGTCAGCAGTGACTCCAAAGCTACATAACATTGTGACCCCAGAAACAGAATTGTTGTGCTCAAAGTTGTACAGAGAGACAACACAGTTTTTGGATTAGACAAGAGTTGCACACTGGCAGTTCAGTGCATGGTCAGGCAAAGGTTACTTCTCTTTATGGAACACAACACAGCCAGACCTCTTTATTTGGAAGGGGACAATTAAAAGCTTGCTGTAAGTTGCAAGATATCACCTCATCCCTAGAGTGATTATTATACTTTTTTTTGCACTACCAAAAATGAGTTTGTAAACATTAACAAAAAAAAAAATAAAAAATGGATAAACCATGTGCAAAATAAATGAATAAAATTATAGGATTTATGCTCTTCAAAAAAGATGTTTCAGCAGAGAGTATTCATACTTTTGGGACTTCAGTTTTCATGTCAGAAACCAAATCTGAGAGATGAGGCTCCCTACAGTTTTACCATGTGAAAACAGAATTCAGGGCACACAAAGAATAAAGGTGTGCAACTGCATATTAAGAAGTCTAAGCAATAAGAAATTACATAAAATGCTTAACATGCCCTCTTAAAAGATACATTAAGACTGCTGTTGGAACTTTGGGCAATAGTATCAAGTGTAAAGCACACAGATAAAACATTAAAAGGACAAACCAAATGATGAGCACACTTCAAAGAACAGCTCTAAAACATGAAAGAGTAATATTTGAGAAAGAATACACATACATAATTTGTGATTTAATACATACCTCTTGTTTCTACAGCATGAATACATTTCCTCACAAAGTTGAAACCTGCTTCATTTAAGTACACTATAAAAAGAAGAAAAAAGGTAATTGTTTTTTAACTTAGTAATACACAAAATCTCTATGTTTAGCTACATTCACATACTAGTCAGGAAGGACTGATACACGTTTATCTATGAGACTATGATACTTATTCTGTAGTAGTATTCCTGTAGATATAGCCTTAAGCATTCAAAATCCAACTTTTTAAGATATGTATCTAGTGTATCATAGAATCACAGAATGTCTGCGCCAGAAGGGACCTAGGGCCAAAAGTCATCTAGTCCAGCCCCCCCAGAATATTTAACTGTCTCAGAAATCAGTGGCCCCTCTACAAACACAGCTGAAAGCTGGTTGCTTTAAAAGGAGATTACTGTACTCCCTTCCCTCTGCTGAGGAAAATGCTTTGATGAGTTCAGGACCTACACTATGAAAAGAATATATTCCCTGGTTTTAAGACCACAGCATTTTCCTTCTATATACACATCACTGCTCATAAAATGTTAACATAGGGAAACAATCATTGTTATTGACTTTAATTAGCAATCTTATTTCAAGGGAATGTATTTCCCATTAATTTTTGTACCTTCAATTGCTCACTGGTCTAGCTAGCTAAGTAAAGAAGATATGAAAGCAGCGTACTTGTCAACATTAAAATCAACATCATCAACTTGTCAACATCATAATATAAAAAAAAAAAGATAGAGTGGCTTAAATTTTAGATTTCTAGAGTCTCAAATATACCTCCTATGAAGGTGTATGTCCACAGCTGACATCTTTCTCTCTCTGAGTTACATACACCCACACATATATTTAAATTGTTAGACATTTGTGTCATTATAATAGGTGTCAATCTAAAATTAATACAGTTATACACATAAATCTCATAGTATCTTTAAACACACTCATTTTATTACTCAGCATATGTGTAATAGGTGCATACACACCTAAAACAAAAAAGATGTGATGAGCTGAGGTCAGTTTTATGACATTCAACAGGTCTACGTGCTGGTTCTTGCACATGGCTCACAACAACACCAAGAAATGCTACAGGCTTGGCTGCCCAGTAGAAAATGACCTGCAGGTGTTCATTGACAGGCAGCTGAATATGAGCCAGCAGTGTGCCCAGGTGGTCAAGAAGGCCAACGGCTTCCTGGCTTGTATCAGCAATAGTGTAGCCAGCAGAAGTAGGGAAGCAATTGTCCCCCTTTACTCAGCACTGGTGAGGCCACACCTGGAAGACTGGGTTCAGTTTTGGGCACCTTACTATAAGAAAGACACTGAGGTGCTGGAGTGGGCCCAAAGAAGGGCAGTGAAGCTGGTGAAGGGTCTTGAGGATAGGTTTTATAAAGAGCAGCTGAGGAACTGGGGTTGTTTAGCCTGGAGAAGAGGGGGCTGAAGAGTGACCTTACTGTGCTCTACAACTCCCTGAAAGGAGACTGTAGTGAAGTGGGGGTCAGTCTGTTCTCTCATGTAACAAGTGAGAGGATGAGAGGAAATAGCCTCAAGTTGCACATGGGGAGGTTTAGATCGGAAAAATTAGGAAAAAAAATTCTTCACAAAAGGGTTGTCAAGCATTGGAACAGGCTGCTGGAGTTATTTAAAAGACATGTAGATATGGCACTTAGGAACATGGTCTAGTGTGACTTGGCATTGTTAGGTTTATGGTTGAACTCAATGATTTTAAGGGTCTTTTCCAACCTAAATGGTTCTGTGACTGTATTTCAATGCATCTGCATGTATTTTGGTCTACAAACTACTGATAGAAACTTTTTACAGATTTGTTAAATATATTTGTAGCTTTGGAGCAAATAAAATTTTCTTCCAATTTATGTTTGGTGGTAATAAAAAAGATGAAGCTTTTCCCACATCTTACATAGGTTAGGATGTGCTTTTTTGTAACCCCGTCATGTAGTACAACAAACAGTTACTTCACAGCAATAGAAGGAAAACAAAATAATCTCTCTCACACACTTACACATATCTAGAAACTAGGACATTACAAATATCTGGCAATATTTGGTGACTACATAAATAAAGAGCTTACTTTCTTCTTTCTTGCTAATAATGGCTGGCAGCGTGTAGATCTGTAAAAAAAAAAAAAAAAAAGACAACAGATCAGTGTTTGTGCTTTAAAGTCTTTATTGCCACGTTTGCTGGCAGTAGCAACATGCTGTGTATTAGCTTGTTGCTAGGGGAAACCAACTTTGCCTTTCACCTTCTCTTGACATTTACCCCTACAGCACTCACCAGTGTCAACAGCTCTGTGCTAGGACAGGCACCTAAAATGTTTTGGAAGTCAGATTTGCAGACTCCAAGTGGGTTAAATTTCAATACAACCACTGATCTAATATCTGTACTGTTTCAGTCAAGTAAGCAGCTTGTAAAAATACTCATCTATCTCATAAAACAAATGAACAACCTTTTTTCCCTTGGATACAGGTCTGGCATTACCTTCATTCAGTGACTATTTTAAGAGCAGATTAACAGTGGGATGAAGTCTCAGACGAGCCTATCTCTTGGTAGCTTTCAACACATTTTTATGCTCTCTGCAGTGCCTTTCAAGATGGTGCTAATTGTTTACTCCATGACGCTCCCCAAAAGATAGTTTGCCTTTACCAGTGCAGACACTACCACTTTAAAAATGTTCTCTGAACCATGAATCCTATTAAATGATATGCCATCGTATTACTTAAATACTAAATACCCCAGCAAAAAAAAAATAAAAATCTATAAATAAAGGTTTAAATTTACTAATAGTTCTGCTTTTCTACTCTGTACCTACGTTCACTGTGTACTTGTGATAGTGTCTCGCAAAGAACAGAACTGTGTTTGCCTGTACTGTAACGGAGTATCTGAAATGCACGTTAGCTTCTTTCTTTAATATCTGTACCATAGAACAGTAAAAAGAAAATGAAAAAACATCCTTACTGGTTCCTTTCCATCCATAGCTTCGAGCCAAAGCTTTCGGTTGGATTCTGAAAAAGCTTGCAGCGTGATGATTCCAGGTCTGCCAAAAACACACAAACACAATGAAGTTACTAATCTACATTTTCAAGTTGTATTTAAGAGGCATGCATAAAAGCAATTGGACAATATAAAATATAAAAATGGGTACCCACAAACATACACCAAATCATTCATTAGGAGCAAGCCCTGCCTTTACACACAAAAATGTCAAGCTGAGTATTTTGTTTGCTATCTACTATAACAAATGTAAAAAGATAAAGTTAATCCAAAATAAGATAATTATTTTTCTATTTCTTAAATATTTTCTTTTTTCTTTTGATTTTAATATTCCATCTTGCCATCTACCCACAGATTGCCTAGAAATTTTTATCTGAAAAAAAAGAAATAAAAACTTTTTTTTTCCTTCTTTCTATTTATTTGGATGTTCAGCAGAGTAAGGGAGAGTAAAGCACAACGCTCACTTCTGAATACATTACAATGACACTGCCACAAATGTGTCTAATAAATACAATTCTACTTAGAAACAACTACCAATTTCAACCTGTCCGTTTAGGTTTATGAGTTTCCAAGAGACCTATCAGTATCAACATTTGTTCATATAAAATTTTTCTTTCTTACACCTGACCTCACTCATAAGTCTAATTCAGAAAGATAAAGTATTATATTTGAAATTACCAAAGTAGCTTCATAGTAGCCTCACGTACATAAAGCAGTTCTGAATGGAATTTAAAATGACAGTAACAGTCACAAAATATTTTTTAATAGAATGACTACAAAAGTCAGTATATTTATCACATTTAAGGGTTTAATTTAATATTTCTTTTAATTTCAAGCTTGGAAAAAACCACTTTTACAAAGTACCGCGCACATATTTCAAATATAAAAAAGCTGTTTCCATCTATCACATATAATTCTAATAGGCAGATATGAGTGAAAAAAGTAATGTTCCAAAAAGAAAAATTATGTGCTACCACATTTCTGAAAAAATAGATTGGTACAGAGTATGCTTATTAATAAGTATTTATAAAAATATATTCTGTTTCCAGAAGACTGTAGTCAGTTTTGCTACAGGTTCTGTAAGAATCCATCTTGTATCTGAATTCTAACATAATGTAGTTGAGATAAAACATATGCAATGTAATGAATTTTTTTAGAAAAGCAGGTTTGCACAAATTACTAAGTCTTGAAAGCCAAATTTGTCTGGATACAAGCATGTTGAGAAATACGTGTTCCTATCACAGAAGTAATTATACAGCAGTTGCAAGTGCTTCTGTCTGTAACTATTTCTAGTTTGTTAACACAATGGAAAAAAAAAAAATCAAACCTTTCAAATACTTCAATATCAAAACAGAAACGTTTGTCAATTGAATCTGTCTTTCTCCTGATGCAAGATTTTAGTTTGAATATTTCAGGTGAGCTTGTGACAAGTCCATTCTAAAAAACAGGACAAACCAGAATTAGCATACGTTGACATACCTCGGCTTTACGTCTTAAATTTAACTGTCTGAACAGCCCAAAGAACATGTCTTAAGATAAGAGGTGAAAATTATTTAGGAACATATATAATAACTTTTCTGTATATAATGTAAAACTAGAGTTAATAGCTTTCTGTCACATATTTGTTATTTAATGATTATATTTCAGAAAACTCCCTAAATTAAAAATCTTTACAAACATCTGGATATATAACTTGATTATAACATGATCAGATTAGAAAAGCTAAAGCCCTGATAGAATTACATCTGGCCAGGGACATGAAGGAAAACATGAAAAGCTTCTATAGGCACATCACTGTCAAAAGGAAGACTAGGAAAAACGCGGGCCCCCTTTGGAAGGAAAGGAGAAGACCTGGTTACCCAGGACATGGAGAGGGCTGAGGTACTCAACAACTCTCTTCCCTCAGTCTTCACCAGCAACACGCCACACCGCCCACGGTGCGGAAGGCAAAGGCAGGGACTAGGAGAATGAAGAACTGCCCACTGTAGAAGATGAGTTTCGAGACCATCTAAGGACCCTGAAGGTGTATGAGTCCATAAGACTTGACGAGATGCAACTGTGGGTCCTGACAGAATTGGAAATGGAAGTGGAAAGCCACTGCTTATCATATTTGAGAATATGATAGGAATAACCCCAGGCACAAGGACAAGCTGGGGCTGACGGGATGGAAAGCAGCTTGGCAGAAAAGGACCTGCAGGTCCTTGTGGGCAACAAGCTAACCCTCAACTAGCAATGTTCCCTTGCAGCAAAGAAGGCCAACAGCCTCCCAGGCTGCGTCGGGCAGAGGACTGCCAGCAGGTCAAAGGATGTGAGTCCCATCCTCTGTTCAGCACTGGTGAGACACATCCAGATGTGTCCAGTGTCCAGTCCTGTGTCCTTCCCAGCATAAGAAAGTGATGTAATACAGCAAGTCCAGCTAAGGGCTACTAAGTGGTTAAGGACTTGTAGCATCTGTCATATGAGAACAGGCTGAGAGAGCTGGAACTGTTCAGGCTGTAGAAGGGGGATAAACACCTGATGGGAAGGAGTAAAGAAGACTGAGTCAGATTCTTCTCAGTGGTGGCCAGTGAAAGGGCAAGAGACAACGGGCACAAACCAAATTACAGGTAATTCCATCTCAACTTAAGAACAAGCTTTTTTACGGTGGTCAAAGGCTGAAACAGGTTGCCCACAGAAGTTGCAGGGTCTCCATCCTTGAAGATATCTAAAAACTGACTGGACACAGGCCTTGCTAATCTGCTGTCACTGACCTCGCATTGAGATTAAACTAGATGATCTCCAGAGCTCTCTTCCAAATCTCATCTATTCTATGATCCTGTGTAAATGTGATTTATTTCCAATACATTTGGAACCACCACATTAGGTAAGTTATTTAATGTGTTTTATAAAAAATTTAAAATAAATATTTTTATTTAAATTCTTAATTCATTTATGGCAAGACATGCACTACTTCATCTATGAAAACAGCCCTATGCTTTGTTTACCACATTCTTTTTAACGGTTCCTGAATGCTTAATATATAAGATGGAATATATAGTTCATGTATGAGTTCATGCACGTGCAACTCACCACTTTTCCACCAGATTTTGTTTCAGCTATACTCATTGTAAATGTTTTTGTTCCTTTTTCGTAAGTGCAGTAATGTTTTACCCATGTAAATCCAAGAGGTCCTAAAATAATAAGAAGAGGTAGTATTAGAAATAAATACTTCAGCATGTTATCACTATTTTAGTTTGAGTTAAAGAAATAAAACATAACAGGATCCACATATAGCTTACAAAACCAAAACCTCCCAATTCTGAAATTTGAACATGTTGTTCAGGTATAATTTTCAAATGTTGCAGCTTGATAAGGCTGCTCAACAAAGTTCTACCAGACATCTTCCCATCCAGCTGGATGGGTAACATGATTTTACTAGGGAAAGCAGAGAGAAGGCAGGCAAGTTCCTGAGGATTTTTCTGCCTAGGAATCACAACTGAGGATTTTATCAACCCAAGTGAAGCGCAAGGATTCAGTATTATATCCTTTCACTGAGGCAAACCTTGAGGTCTAGTATTAGATCCAGAACCCTGGACAAAGTCATGATGGCAGAGTGCATTTCCCTGTACTTTCAGAGGTGACAAATGCCTTTGGTAGTATCACAGGAAGGCTAAGGGACTGGGCAAAATGGCATTAGCTCAGAGACAGATTTAATCTGGTGTAGTTGAACACTGGTGGGTGATTTCATTATGTGAAAGGAAAGGAAGGAAAGGAACAGTGCACTCTGAAACAACAGTGGTTTAGAGACGAGGCCTAAAATGCTGGGTGGCAGAGGTGGAGCCATCAGCAAGCAGCATTGCGCTTTTATGCCTTGGTAGGGGTCCTGCTGGGGAAGAGGTGGCTCTAACAGTGTGGACAGTCAGTTGTGGACACAGCCAAACAGACAACTGTACACACTCACAATACCAGAATACAGTGTACTTAAGGAATCACTAGTCTTCGATGTTGATAGCCATAGACAAAACTTACAGCGATCCCCAAGCAAGTGGATGTATGCCCAACCCTGGAGAGGTCACACCACACTACTCAGTCCTACTGCAAAGTAGGATCTCTGATGCAGAAGATGTTTTCATTCCTGGATTACTCAGTTTCCCTCAGGCATTGCTGTGAACCTTTACTGAATCTAAACGCAAAACCCTTTTGAGCTTAAGCTCAATGGTATTTTAAACTTTGTCCTCTAACCTAGCTATAAATACCTCTATTATAAATATATATGAAAATATATTAAATATTTATATTAAATATAAATATATAATAGATGTAAATAAATATTACAAATACAGGTATTTATAATGTGTTCTTTGGTGTCAGGCCATAGATTAAATCCTCCCACCATTTCTGTAATTCTCTCCACATCCTAGAAGTACAGCTAAACTCTCCCATAATTTTTTGGAAGAAAGTAAGTTTGCTGTAGCATAGAGGACAAGATAAGCTCACAGATTCCTACAGATACATCTGGAGGTGTTGTGCATGGCAAATGATAGGACAGTTCAGGTATTTGCAGTGTGACTGCTCCCCCTTGGGCCAGAATATTCTGACTATAACTTCACTGGTTAATAAACAGTGCCGGCAGCATTCACAATGACTAGGTAACACATAGTCTATAAGTAACTTGGAAAAAAATTGATTTTTGAGGATAGAAAATTTAGAATAGAGAATGGGATATTCTGTGTAACCTTGTCTCAGTGGCAGAGTACAGTCCCATTTATTTTACCTGCATTAATACAGCTTCTGGGTACTCAGCAGCAGAGGCTAAACATAATGGCTGTGGAGCCTGGCACTCAAACATGGCCCCTCCCTGCAGAGCCATCAAAAATGTAGGTGCCAAAGCAAAATACCTATATACGCAGTATTGTAAATACTGTCTAGATTCAGACTAGGAAAGGACTAGATGATACTTTCAACCCACATGTCATTTTTCCAATTAATTTCAATGGGAGATACTCATGACGAAAAATAAGATTCTCATTTTTTCAAAGTACAGTATATTTGGATCTTTTAATTCTCTGTTAAAAAAAGAACTCTGAATTCTTTTTTTTTTAAAAAAAGGTATTTTAAGGGTTTTGTGTTTGGGGTTTTTTCATACATGTAAACAGTTAAACACAACTAGAAGGTGTTAAAAACAAACTTTGCAGGTTGTACAGCTATAGATAAAATGGCTTTGCCTTCTAAATGTAGCCTTCCACAAAGGTGGTGGATACACAGGAGACTGCAATAGTCACGTGAGTTAGATGTCTGGCAATCCAGAAACATAGAGGTGGGATTTACATCATCTGTTCTGCCAACTAGGAGAATTTGCCTGCATTGCATAGGAAAGTAATGTCATGACTTGAAAAGTTCTGAGGTTACCCACCCTCAGAAGTTAACCATTCTCTTGCTATATTTTAACTTATTTTCACTTAGCAAAACAAAATTTACAATTATTCTAAATTCAGTTTTTCCTCTGATGGCATTTCATTAACTCCTGTAGCATATGTAAGAAGGATGAGCACTCTCGAAGCAGTTTTAGATGAGCTTAGATGTCACCTGGTTTTCATTAAAAAATTGTAGCCAGACACTAGCATTGCAACTTTAAGCCTGTTACTCATGACCTGAATGAAAACAATTTGTGGTCTACAGCCATTTTTTTCAAAGAAATATATTTATCACCATGCATACCAGTATCAAATATATACAGGATTTACTGTCACAAATTGCAACTTTTTAACCCAGTTCTCCAACCTCATGAGGTTCAACAAGGCC